AGGTTGGAGGTTCAATTCCCAGTTGGGACGTGTATGGAAGTTGATGGATGTTTTTCTCTCACATGGATGTTTGTTTCTCTCTTCTCCCCCACCTCTCTCTAAAAATCAATAAACATATCCTCAGGTGAGGATAAAAAAAAAAAGGAAACCTATAATGAGATACCTATCCCATGTTTCCTTCCAAGTGAACTTTCTAGAACCTTACAACAAATCTTTCAACACTTTCTTTCAAACAGAAATATGTTAGGATAATTGGGTATCCCACATCTCATTCATTTTTTCACAAACTATTAAATGAAGGTTTACTGTGTGCCAAGCTCTGTGTTCCTAGATGGTGGATGTTTATATTGGTGGGAAAAGGGAACAAAACAAAACCTTAACAACCACTGCTTTCATAGACCTTAAATCTAGAGGAAGAGAGAAAATATTCTTAAAACTCTGTGAAGAACCTGTCATCTAAGTTTTCTCAGTCATAAAAAATCCTGTTGTGAGGATTAAGTAAACAATCTTACTTTAAAAATCACTAAGTCTCCAAGAATAAACTGAGAACATTAAAATACTTTCCAATTTCCATGAATAAAAAATTCAAGCATTTATGATTTAATAATAGTGGAATATAATTCTACGCATTAAATGTAACAGTGATCACTAGATAATGCAAAGATCAGAAAAATGGGTACCAATACTTCTAAACATAAATGAACACTTTTTAAAATATATTTTTTATTGATATTTTTACAGAGAGAAAGAGAGAGACAGAGAGTTAGAAACATCGATGAGAGAGAAACATCCATCAGCCGCCTCTTGCACACCTCCTACTGGGGATGTGCCCGCAACCAAGGTACATGCCCTTGACTGGAATTGTACCTGGAACCTTTCAGTCCGCAGGCCGATGCTCTATCCATTGAGCCAAACTGGTTTCAGCCAAAAATGAACATTTCTTATAAAAATTCACTTAATTCTAATTTTCTTTACTAAATGTGAAACCAGAAAAGATTTTTGAAGGGGTTCAACACATAAGCCTACCTATAACAAACCAAAAGGATAAAGAATCTAAGACTGACCAAATTCCCCCTTATATTTAGTCTTCTAAGCAATCACCTATTTACTTTATGCTTAGAAAACTCTCCTATATTCATCCAAAGTGAATATGTCAGGAGTAAATAAATAACTGACATCATTATTTTATGTTTACATGGAGATCCAAGTAATTTCAAAGCTCAAAAGGAAATCCAGTAATATATTTTTAATATAAAACTTTCTTAAGCAAAAGACATTTAAGTAATATCCTCAAAAATATTCTCTACTTACCAGTGAGTTAAAATTTAAAGCCATCAAGATAGGTATCATCTACTTCCTGTCAAACACTCAAGTCTTTTTCCATCCAGGATAGTATAAAATATATTTCTCGTACTAGAATCCTAAACTACCAATGCTTAGGAATTCAAATAATTTTAAGTAATGGTAAAGTCATGGAATCTCAAGTTTCCTTATCAAGGCTGTATTAGGACACTCAAAGCATGAAATATAAAAACAATGTCCACTGCCCATGAACACTGCAGAAGTATCTAACACTTGTATGATTCTACTGCATAAAATTTACAAACACCAAATGAGAGGCTGAAGTATTATTGTAGTGGTTTACAGAATGTCATAGAAGATCTTTTTGATCATTGGAAAGCAACATTAAATGTTCATAAAAAGCATACCATAATTGCATTTCGGGGAAAAATATGATCTGTAATGTAATACAACAGCTTAGCCTTACTTATGTAGTAAAGGCCTGTAATGACTAAGCCAGGTAGGCCCTAGCTTATCAGATTTTAATTCATTTTATAGCATACCCATTTTTTCCCCTTTGCTACATATAGATTCACTGCTTTTCAGTTTATCAATATACCAATTTTTAAAATTACTGTTCAGACCAGTTAGAATGATTCAGCAACTAAATCTTAAATCCAAGAGCAAAACTGCAGCTGATTTTTTTTCTAAAGCAATCAAAATCTCACTCAAGAAAATCTGCCTATATAGCCAGAGAAAAAGAGGAATTACTTTCTATCAATGAATTCAATAAAGTATGTTATGAAAATGACCATTTGAAAAATAATTTTAAATGATAATCATATAAATCAGTGCCTACATTTTGCTTTCTTTAGTACATGAAAAGCATCTTGGTTCACTTAATTTTAGCAGGTTCATAACTTAAATAATACATTATAAGAAGATGCTAGCCTTACAAAAGTCCTTACCTTTTTAATTTCTTTACTTATTACCTGCAAACAATAGGTGACAGAGCCTCTGCTCTTCATTCTTTTTTACTAATATTTACTCAGAGCTTAAATAAAACATTATGAATTTTATGAAATTAATAGCTGTAATAAGAGCACTACTTACTATTTTAAAGCTATCCTCTCCAATCTTACAACAGAGCTCTTTTTCCCCTCTTTGTTTAAAATTTCAGGGTATTTTGGGGGGTGGGGAATAGGGAAAATGCATTCTGAAAGGAATACCAATTAAAAGTACTAGCAAAAATAGGCTAATCTTTTTTCAATAATTGGCAATACAAGACACTAACTTAATAATTTATTGTAGAAAAAATATCAAAACCTGACTGCAACAGTTCACACCCTGAAAATGTGGCCTATTTATCCTGAAAACATATAATCTATAAATACAGATAAAATACAAAAATCACATTTAATATTTAGACTTTAAATTCTTAATTCTGCCAAACTACCTCTTCATTTTCATTTCAAAATCTATTTTATGTTTCAGAAAAATAGCCTTCATCCTCTGATATTCTAAAAATAGACTCCTACTGTCTCTTTTACAAAAAACAATTACGCTCGGTTACGAGTCCTACCATATCAGCCACATCACCAATTCCTATTTAACCTCGTTTTTGGCAATAAAAATGGTAACTAAATATAAAAAAAAAATCTTACCTATATGCTGCATTTTCTTTCAAATGCAATATGGTTAGATTCCCCTTCTACTTAATCAGTACAGTGTCTGAACATTTTTCAGTCTGACTTGCAAATATTTGCTTTCCCTCTTAGGGCATAGCATCCGCAGGGTTATACAGCACTACTTACATTCTCTTCCACATAAAAATCAGACATTACATGAAAGGAAAAGAAAGACAGCCCATTTCAAAGCATCTGGCAAACCTCCATTGGCAACCTGCCAAGCCTCTGCTAAACCTTCCTGTCTTTCCGAGCATGCTCACTTAAAACCAACAGCATGTTACTATGGCAACTATGTAGGCAGCCTCTAAGTATGAACCGCCATTCTGATTTCAGAGTGCAAAAAACCAAATACTGCAGAGAAGTGAAAGGAGAGAAATGTTGTATGCTCTTCATCACATACAAGTGTACTAATTTTATTTCATAAATTCATATTTGTAAATATAAAACAGAAATAAGCATTCCACATTTTTCAAACAAATATTTTTCATGCTCAAAGAAGGTCTTCCTTTTCAGTAAACTCATTCTCTTTGTCTATCCCCAAACTCTTTACCTCATAATAACCAAAAATACACTAGACAATTTATCCCACTTGATAAAACACTTCTGAATAAATAGTGTCATGTAAATAATTATGTGGAATTCCATGAATGATTTCCTACAATTATATACTCTAAATGACATATTAAATTACAAAAAAAGCCATCAGCACTTCAAAAATATAATATTAATCTTTTCTATGACCGGTCAAACTGCCAAAAGAAATTTTCTTTCAGTTTGGATAGAATTTTTTTATGCCCATTACCCTAGAGATACCGTTAAATTGCTGAAAGAGGTCATGTTTTCGAAGTTAAGACAGACCAGACTTAGGTTCGAATCCTAGTTCTCCACATTTAACCTGGGTCACCTTGAAAAGTTATTTAACTTTACGACCATCACTTTTCTCTGCTTTAAAATAGGATAACACCAGTTACTCCACATAGAAACATTTAAATGAGTTAACACACGTAACTCCTACACACATTTCTTTACTTCTTGGTTGTTTGGGAAAGGTAGTAAAGTAAAAATAAAATCTGCCCTTGATTTACCTGAAGAGTTCTTTTTTGTAATCTCTTACTGGGTAAAAATTAGTCTTGATTTGCTCACTAAGCTAGAAGCCAAAAAACAAACAAACCCTCTCCCCTAAATCAAGATGAACCAGAAGACAGAAACAAGTAATAGAGACTCTAAACCAGAATGTTGGGCCCGCAGGCCATAATAAGGCTGTTGAAATCTCTTAGGCCCTGCTAAGGCATTAGGGGTGAGTTAATTAAATGTCTCACCAAATAAGCAGGCTAATCTTTAAGTTGATAATCTTGTATGGCCTGCAAATGATATTGTAACTACCCAAATGGCCTTTGACAGAAAAAAGGTTCCCCAACCCTACTCTAAACAGAGGGGAAAAATACAAAAGTATAACTTTTACTTTAGAGCAGTGGTTCTCAACCTTCCTAATGCTGTGACCCTTTAATACAGTTCCTCATGTTGTGGTGACCCCCAACCACAAAATTATTTTCATTGCTACTTCATAACTGTAATTTCGCTACTGTTATGAACCATAATGTAAATATCTGTGTTTTCCCATGGTCATAGGCAACCCTGCTGCTGTAGAGCCTAAACCCATAGGGTCGCGGCATTAGGAAGGTTGAGAACCTCTGCTTTAGAGTATCCTATATAATAAAAGCCCAATTCACAAATCTATGCACAACGACCACCAGGAGGCAGATACTCAATGCAGGAGCTCCCACAGGGGGAGTGCCACTCAGCCAGAAGCCTGGCTCATGGCTGTCCAGCACAGCAGGGGTGGCAGAAGCCTTTCTTGCCTCCACTGCAGGCGGGTGATAAGGAGTAAAGGGTCCCGGGATGCGAGAGCCCCAGGCTGCGAGAGGGCACAGGCCGGGCTGAAGGACCCCTTTCCCCCCATGAACAAATCTCATGCACTAGGCCTCTATATTAAAATGTTTTTATGTGTTACAAATACAAAATTTCACTTACCACTTCTTCTTCTTCCTTTTTGGCCTCCTTTTCCTTCTCTTCCTCATTTTCTTCACGGGGGCCATCTTCATCATCACTGCTAGATGACTCAAGGATTTCACTTATATCCATTTTCCAATTATCAGGAACAACTCTAGTTTTTAAGAAGATGGTTGCTTTCTGTAGCCCTAAGATTTAAAACACACTTTAGCAATTGTTATAGAATCAGCATAACATGACTGAAAGGCTAATATTCAGTCAAAAGATCTGGGTTCAAATTCAACTTATAAAACAACACAATACAGCCCTACCTGGTTTGGCTCAGTGGATAGAGAATCGGCCTGCGGACTGAAGGGCCCCAGGTTCGATTCTAGTCAAAGGCACATGCCTGGGTAGCAGGCTCGATCCCCAATAGGGGGTGTGCAGCCAATCAATGATTCTCTCATCACTGATGTTTCTATCTCTCTCTCTCTCCCTCTCTGAAAACAATACACACACACACACACACACACACACAAAATAATACAATACACTCGAATACCTTTTATAACTTACAATGTCATATTAATGTTTATTACTCTAGAAAGTACTGTTAAGAAATCTTAATGGTAAAAGATGAAAAGTAATCCTCATCTAAAAATTATAAATGTCTAGACATTCAAAAAATAGCCACCAAATAAGAGTGGAGCCGAAACCGGTTTGGCTCAGTGGATAGTGCGTTGGCCTGTGGGACTGAAAGGTCCCTGGTTTGATTCCGGTCAGGGGCATGTACCTTGGTTGCGGGCACATCCCCGGTAGGGAGTGTGCAAGAGGCAGTTAATCGATGATTCTCTCTCATTGATGTTTCTAACTCTCTATCCCTCACTCTTCCTCTCTGTAAAAATCAATAAAAATATATCTTAAAAAAAGAAATTAACCTTATAAAAAAAAATGGTGGTTTTAAAAAAAAAAAGACTGGATATTAACTCTAAACAGTTAAAAAGGCACCAGAGAATTAGTCTGTCTTGCTTTAGTCTGTTTAGCCACTTACAGCCACATCATGAAATAATGCACTGATTCATCCTTATCTTACCTGGTTTAGCAGAGAGCTCAGATTCAGGCAAATTGAGAATGTCCACTTCCTTGATATCCTTTCTTGCTATAGAATAACTAATTATAGAAAAGAAGAAAAGGGAAGGAGTCATTATTAAATAAAAATCATCATTTAAATAGTCCTTGTTAATATATAGAAAAAATATAAACCTTAAAATCGTAATTACTTTGCACAAAAAATGTTTTAAAAGGATCATATATATCTTAATCCTTAATAAAGAGTAAGAGGTAACATATGCAAAGCTGGTGTCTTAATTCTGATGAGTCACATACTCAAAGTATATTAATGAGAGCCTCACATTTGTAATATTTCAAGCTATGCAACTCTCCTACACACAGCATAAGGTACTCTCTATCAGCATGATGTTTTCCTTATGAAGACAAAAATGTCTATTTTGATTTTCATTATTTCTTAAACTTACTATTTGGGTTAGTAAACAGAAATGTAATAGAAGGTAGTATTAAATTATGTTTATCACTGTGAGATATATTATGGCACTAAATTTTTCAGATTATAACTCATATTTTTTTTTAATTTTACATCTTTTTATGGATACAAAGCAGAGCTGAAGTTAAGAAAAGTTTCTAAAAATCTGACTTTTAATCAGAAAAAAGCCAAGATAATTATTCTGGTAAATAAATTTTACTTAAAGACTATTTCATAGTTCATAACATGTAATAGTACATAGAAATTATGGAATTTTTACAATTAAAGAGAAAATATCATGATTTATTTAAAATACTATTACTATTATTCTCACATATTCAGGTTTTATAGTTTTTAAGTAAAAAATAACCTATATTATAAAGTCAAAACATAAGTAAAAATTCATTTCATGAAGTGATTAAACTTTTAAAAACTTTTAAAAACTTTTCTATCACTGTGATTCCATTTTTTTTCTCCCAATGTATGAAGTGATTCATTACTCACAATTTAGAATCGATAAATGATCGAACTAAACACTGGTCTTTTCTCACTGTGATGTCATCGTTACAACTGGGAGATACTACCTAAAATAAAAAATAAGAACACATTGATTCCTATTATCCTTGCTCAAAAACAGAATATATTCTCAAGTGGATTATCTATAATAATAAAAGCATAATATGCTAATTAAACTGGATGTCCTTCTGGACAACCTTCCAGACAAAGCTGGGGCTACAGGGAAGCCCGAGTCCTGGATGCCTGCCGGTGGCCAGAGGGATTCTCAGGTCTCGGGTGCCTGCTGACAGTCGAAGGGAAGCCCTGGTCCTGGGTGCTAGAGGGAAGCCAATGCTGCCATCAGACCTCTAGTATTTTATAAGAAAGAGCTTCATTATCAATACCTTCCATTATTACTTACTTATAAAAGAAGAAGAAGATAACCTTATAGTTTTTCTTTAACATATTAGTTTTCTAGATATTTTATTTTATCCAGTCACCTATATATATAAAAGCCTAAAAGATGGACCAGTAGCTATGACGTGCACTGACCACCAGAGGGCAGACACTCAACACAGGAACTGCCAAGTGATAGCAACTTTGCAGAGTGCCCTCTAGCACTCCTAGATCCCTCAAGGGATTCCAGACTGCTGGTTTTGGCCCAATCCCTGCATGCCAGGCAAAGGGATCCCACCTGCCAGAGGGACTCCGCTCACTCCGCAGACACCCTTCGAGCCCCGTGCTGCCCTAGGTGCTGCCAGCCATGGAGGGACTGCAGGAGGTTGGCTCTAGGATGTGTTTGGACCATCTTGCCCAGTCCTGACCCCGCTGGCCACCTTCTAATTAATTTACTTTCAATATAACCACATCTCTAATTAATTATAAAATGATTAATGAAATATAAATTATAATGTGACCACCAAAATATTTAAAAGTGTTGGACTTACTCTAAGCTAAATAACTCAATTATTGAATTATTAATAAACTACGTATGATATATGATAAAAACATGGCAAGTTAATTTTTAAAAATATACTTGAATCAGGATCTATTTTGAAATAAGCACCTATCTAAATTCCCTTTCTTACTGGGGCATGTACAACTTTTAGTAATTAACTCAAATCTGAGAAAATCTAAGTAAAGAACTTTTTAATTTCTTAAAAAATAACAAATGTAAATAACTAGTCTCTGTGTACTTTATAGCATTTCACATTTTTTAAAATATTAATCTCTACCAATAAATTACTGACATGTACCTGCTCATTATTACCCCTAGCTAGCCCCTCTCCTATAATCTAGCACTATCCACAAAACTTATTCAATGATGAAAATCTATATCTGTGGGGGGGAGGAGAATTGGGGGAACAAAGGGGTATAAGGACACATATGTAATACCTTAATCAATAAGAAAGAAAATAAATTTTTTTAAAATCTTCCATATCTGACCAATAAGTAGCGATGAGCCACATGGGGCTGATCACTTAAAATGTGACTAGTGCAACTTAAAGATTAAATTTTTAATTCTATTTCATTTTAATTGTTACATTTAAACTTTAATAGCCACATTGGCTATTATATTAAATAACATATAACCAGATAATTAAAAATTCTTGGCAGTCAAATAAACTGTCTTAATATCAAAAGAAAGTAAATGTTTGTTAGGTGCTGGTAATTATTACAGTAATAACATATTTGTGCCCTGGCCGGTGTGGCTCAGTTGGCTGAGCAGCATCCCATGCACCAAAAAGTTGCTGGTTTGATCTCCACTATGGGAGAAAACCAACTGATGTTTCTCTGTTCCTCTCTCTCTGAGAAAAGATCAATAAAAACATTTTTTTAAAAGATAGGAGAGGTGAATATTTAAAAATAGTAATATATTTGTGTCTACCTTCAAAGAGCTAACTATGTAATAAAGGGTCAAGATACACAAAAGAACACAATGGAGGGTAAGTACAGTGATACCACTAGGCTCAGGATAATACGAAAGCATCTAGGAAGAAGAATCAACCAAACCTGGAGATGGAAAAGGTGTAACAGCAAAGGATTCAAGTGAGTCTTGAAGGATGAGTAGGCATAGCCCAAAGCTTAATTACTTCATTTGTGAATCATTCTAATGGCCTCCAAATTGGTTCCTGCCACCTCCAGTCTTTCTAACAGTAATCCATCCAACATACCACTTCCTTGTTAATATTCCTACAAACACAGCTCAAATACTGTCACTCTTCTGCAAAATACTGTGCAGAATTATGTCCAAATTTCTTAGATGAACTTTTAAAGACTCTTCTGGTCTATATCCAAATTATCTTCCCAATCTTTTTAATTTTAACTTAATCTTCACTCAAGGATATGCTTTCATTGATTTTGAGAAAGAAGAAGGGGGAGAGAGAGGGAGAAACATCAATGGGTTGCCTCCCATACATGCCTTGATTGGGGATCAAACCCAAAACCTAGGTATGGGCTCTGATTGGGAATTGAACCCACAACCTTTTGGTGTACAGGATGACATTACAGTAAACTGAGCTACCCAGCCAGGGTATGTTCTCAATCTATTTCCTGTTATTCCCCTACTCACATATAACATTTAGCCAAAATGAATTCCCAGATTAAACAGTTCCATGAACAAACCTCTTGCTTTTCTGCTTTTAATTATCTTGTATCCTTTAAATCCTTTAACGAAGCTCTGCTTACTAACTCTAAATCCTTCAAGGCCCAGCTCAAAAGTACCTTCTTTATGATGGCTTTCTGGATTTCCTTTAAATAAATATAACCTCTCAAGACAAGAAGTTATAATATTAAACATATACTATCAGTATAGTTACTTAAATCATTTTCTGCATTAAGACTATAAAATCACCAAATGTAGATTGGTATCTTCCTCATCTTTTATTTTGTACATCACCAGAAAAAGGATAAATCTATTGAATAGTTACTTTTCTAAGTCTCTTGGCAAATTATGACCTGAATATTCCGGATCTAACCCTATTTACTTATCTGCCTGCACAATGAATGATTCAAAGGATTTTCAGACTTTTCCCCTATATGGTAAATCCTTATACAGGATTGAGTAATGCATTTATATGGGATTGAGTAATGCATTTATATGCACAAAAAACCCTTAAAAAAAAATGGCCTCAGCTTTTTAAAGGATTCTAATTTAATTTGGGACACATTTTTGTGCCAAAATAATTAAATATAAGTAATATCAAAATTCAGAGAAAAAGGGCGTATTTATGTTAGTGTTTAGGGGAGATTACAGAAAAGGTAGGACTTGAGTTCGACCTTAAGACTTATTTAAGAATAGAGAAATAGGAAGAGGAGAAAGAAGAGACAGGTATTTCCAAATACTGTTGATTCCTCTCATGAAATAAATCTCCTGCCCATCCATTCTTTTCACTTCTTCCCTGAATAAGCAAATATTAGTTTTCTCTACTATCCTATCTACTAAGACATGAATTTCCAAAGTCTAAGTGTACTTTCTTTTCTCCAGTAACTCCCTGACCTGTGTCTGCCCAAAATTTTTTTTAAATTACTATATAATTTTCCATTACTATGTGTTTAGTAAGATGCTTGAGGGCAATGTTTTGCAAATCTCATACTTCTCATTCTTCTAAGGAACTTAGAACAAACCTGACCTCACTGCAGATCCTCAGTAAATACTAATGACTTAAGAAGACTAGGAGGATTGAAGTGATTTAGGAAGGGAGAAATTGAGAAAGAACCTGAGTAGAGAGCTTACACTGGGAATGGGAACAAATCAAGAGGTAGGGATGGCCTTAAACATTTAAGAAAGCAGAATTGATCCATCAGGCACAGCCAGTGAAAGTTTTGTGTGTTTTGCCCTGGCTAGTTTGGCTCAGTGGATAGAGTGTCGTCCTGTGGACTGAAGGGTCACACAATCGATTCCAGTCAAAGGCACAAGTGGGCTCGAACCCTGGTCAGGGGCATCTAGGAGGCAACCGATCAATGATTCTCTCATGATGTTACAATCTCTCTCTCTTCCTCTCTGAAATCAATAAAAAAAAATTTTTTTAAAGAAAGTTTCGTGTGTTTTTTTAAAGAATGAGACTATCATAATTAAATCTCTGAAAAAGTTACTTCTAGAAAATTAATTTTAAAAATTCAATAATCAAGTTAAAGGAACTTAGGAGGTAGCTTACCATAGGTCAGGTATAAAGTGGCAATGGGAACAGGGTAAAAAGAAACTCCACTAACATTGTTTTCAAGGAAGAATTGACAGATTCCAATAAATCAGAGGTGGGGAATGTTTGGCCCACAAAAGACCCTTGAAATCACTTGGTTTGGTCCTGCCAAGGCATTAGAAATGAGTTAATTACATGTTTGACCAAATATACCAGGCTAATTTTTAAGTTGATAATTTTGCATGGCCCACGAATGATGTGATAAATATCCAAATGGCCATTGGCAGAAAAAAAAGTACCACTGCAATTAATGATTGGTTACAAAGAATTAAAATTAAAGAGAGGAAATAAAAAGAGACAGCGAAGTATGTGGGATCTGAGCATGATTGCTCAATTTTGCAATGAAGTCCAAATTAAATTTGTGTAATACTTTAAAAATATCTTAAATGCTTTAAAAAAACCCCATGTAAAACAAGTATGTTAAATGGCTGATTAATTTTGGAAAGAAACCTTACTTACCAAAGCAGGATACCATTCGGTCTTCTCAGAAGTAGATATCACACTTACAACTTTTCCTAATAATTCATCATTGAGACGTCTCTTATCTTCATCTTCATCTTCAGTAGTTTCTTCCTCCTTTTCATCTTCATTACTAAAAGTCGAAATAATTTTATCATAATCTTAAGATAAACCACTTTGAATATAGTCAGAGAGGTGTGAATTTAATACGTACAGCTCAATTTCTAATCTGTATTACCCCTTTTTATTCTTATTTGAATTGAAGAGCTAGACACTTCCAAGCCCCACAGTAGTTGTCCTGAGATGTCCACCGTAACTCTGAGTCCACTTCACCAGATCAATGAGGACACAAACTTAAGCTCTCCTGCCAGCCACCCACTGGGACAGAAAAGCCTAATTATGTCACCATGAAGAACTTACTGTGCCAAACACATTTTTAAAAAGAGTCCCTTCTATTTTTTTATGTATGCCAGATAATAGAACTCTATAATTTTCTGACAGATTATGAAAACAGATCTGAGGGGTAATTTAGATGACCTATCTAGATAACTAAACAATAACATAAACCCATAGCAAAGAACTAGTAGACTAGCTTGTACTTTTCAAAAGTATCAAATGTCATGAAAAGACACAAAAAAAGGGGGGGAGGGGGATGAGGAACTTTTCCAGATTAAAAGAGACTTGAGAACCATATAAATTAAATGCAATGCATGATCTTAGATTGCATCCTGGAATTACGGAATGCTATAAAGGCAAAGATAGCATTCTATACTGTTAAATTTCTGATCCTGATAATCATACTTTGGTTATATAAGAAAATATCCTTGTTCTGTCCTAGGTAAAGTATTTAAGAGGTAAAAGGTCATGACACTTGCAACTTCCTCTTAAATAGTTCAACCAATTAAAGTTATTAATTAAAACATTATAATATGTATCTATAAAAAGAGAAAATGACAATGCAGATGTGGCAAAAATGTTAACAATTAGTGAAACTAGATTATGAATATATTAAGGTTTATTGTAATATTCTTTAAAATTTTAAGTTTGAGAGGGGTGGGGAAAGCTAGAGGAGATTAACCAAAGAGCTTATCTATACTAATAAAAAGGTAAATGCTAATTATAATAGACTGGGAGACCTTCCAGATGTCCTTCCAAACAAAGCCATGGTACCAGGGCCAAGGCAGAGGCAGTTAGAGACAATCAGGCCAAGAGGGGAGGGCAGTTGGGGGCGAGCAGGCTGGGAAGCAGGGGGGACAGTTGAGGGTGAGAAGGCTGGCAAGTATTGGGGGCAAACAGGTTGGCATGCAGAGTGGTTAGGGGCGATCAGGCAGGCAGGCAGGTAAGCAGTTAGGAGCCAGTGGTCCTGGATTGTGAGAGGACTGTTCATCCACCAGTTTAGGCCTGATCCCTCTAGACAACCCCCAGAGAGGTTCCAGATTGGAGAGGGTGCAGGCTGAGCTGAGGGACACCCCCTCCCGTGCGTGAATTTCGTGTGCCGGGCCACTAGTATGCATATAGGCATAGCCCATGGACACAGACAATAGTGTGGTATGCCTGAGTGGGAGCAGGAAGGAAAGATAAATTAAAATGTTTAAGTTTGAAATGTTTTTGAAATAAAAAGGTCAAACAATTACATAGTCTCACTAAAATTAAGAAAATTATTGTATCAATTATGGAATTTGGCAATGTAATTCAAAACAAAAATAACCTCTTTGAAAAAGGAGTGTGATAATTACTGACAAAGTAATGGGAAGAATTAAGAACAAAGTTGGCACAGGATAGATATCTAACATAATACAGATGCTATGAAAAGGTTACCCAAACAAATTTACCCATCCTAGAAAAGTCATTTAATGTTATAATTACTATAATGTTACTGTATATGTTAACACTCACATAGGAAGAGAGGACCTCCTTCCTCTGTTCGTCTTCTTTGCAATTACTGGAGTTCCAAAATGCTCTGGATTTGTTAATGGAAGCTGATCAAGTGTCTGGATAAGAAACAAACAAATTAAGTCACATTTTTCTCTACATGAGTATACTTTGTTCAACTGCAAAAGTCCATGTCACCTTACCTCACTCTCAGCAAAATGTCTCTCTCCTTTTAAGCAAAGTGAGGTGCGTCTCAATGTCCTCTCATCACCATCATCAAACACTATAATAAGCAAAAGAGAGAAAATTTATGCTCACAAATAAAATATAACTGCACAGAATGCTATCGTTGCTATTTATCTCAGGTTAAATACAATATTTGCAAGAACCTTAATTTGTTATTTTTTTCAAAACCCTTTAAAATGTACATAGCACATTTTTCATTTTATAGTTACCAAACAAGTTAAATGGCTGTCCCCAACTGCTTAAACTGTCTCCAGTCACCTTTTTAAACCATTAGCAGTGTAGTCAAAACACAAATATTAAATTGCTTTTACTCCTAGAAGAATGAATGAAAACCTGGTTTACAAAACCGAGTGTTATTAGCCTGTTATGTTTTTTTTTTTTTCCAAGTTATCAATGGAGTACCTCTAATTTCAAGAAACTGACTTCTGATAATGATGTTGTATTATTTACTTCTAGTTATTTGTATGATAACCTACCATAGTAGATTCTAAAGTCATAAGATTCAACTTTTTTATTTGGTAGAAGAGGATGTAAGAAGTTTAGACATATAGGTTGAAACAAGGAAAACATCAAAAGGCTGAAATTTTTTTTAAATTCTCAAAAATAAGTCAAAATCACATGGAACTTTTCATAAAAGTTTTTACTTTATAATTTTTAAAAATCACACTTCTTATAAACACTTTAAGGAAATGGGGACAAAGAATTTAACAATTAATAAACTAACGTTTACCATATAAGTAGCTATATTATCTTCATAATTTTATAGGTTTCATTTTGCAGAAATGTACTGATTTTAATATCTAAAACTTACAAAGCTTATAAAAAGAAAATGTTCTCAGAAGACACCTGATTGTCCAGCTATTATGAATAAAATAAAATATAAAATGGAGTCCTTACTTCAGACACTTAAAATGTATAGACATATCAGCAAATGGATGTACACTTATGAAAATAACATATGAACAGGTAAACATATATATACACACACACACACAAAAATTATTAAGATTTAAACCTGCTTTTCATAATTTTAGATGTTTTTCCATTGTATGTGTTTTTTTAGGGTTTGCAGAATCAGCTATGGCTTTATTTTTTTGGGGAAAACTTGATTGGCTTTTAGTTGGGAGCATGGGAAAGAGGGGGTCCCCCAGGAAGTAAACTCCCCCACCTCAAGGGAGAGCTAGGCCTGGGGCTGAGCCTCAGGGCTTCCTGTGCCTGCTGCTCCCCTGCACAGCCCCTTTCCCAAGGCTAGGAGGACAAGAGAGACCCTGGTAGTCATTCACTTAGGAAGGACATCAGATGATTCAGACACCAGCTTTCCATCATGGGTCTCAATCTTCTTAACCACCATCGTCTTGGAGGAGCTGGTGCAGCTGAAGAAGGTAGAGCTCCCGCCAGAGCCAAGTTGGCCTGGAAGCCCAGACCATAGTTGAGGTTTCCATAAGATGTGTTCATCAGCCTGAGTAGCCGCTGGTAGTCTTGGTGTGGGTGCTCATGTTCTGCATTCCAGATTTCAACTGGTTCTCCTTGCCCTCCAGAAGCTTGTGGTAGATGGTGATCTCCACATTCAGGGCTAGCTTGACATTCATGAGCTCCTCGTACTTGTGCATCTTCCAAGCCACGTCTTGCTTGGTGTTTCTCAAGAGCAGCCTCCAGCTCAGCCACTTTGGACTGAGCATCCTTAATGGTCAGCTCCCCACACTGCTCGGCATCAGCGATGGCGGCCTTCAGGGAAGCCCTCTGGCCTTTGAGGCCCTCAATCTCAGCCACGAGTCGCTGATGTTCTGGTTCAGCTCAAAAATCTAGGTCTTCGTGCAGCGCAGGTCACCCCCATGCTTCCCAGCCAACATTTCCTTATGTTTGATCTGGTACATAAACTCAGCCTCAGCCCAGCTTCGGTTGGCAATGTCCTCATACTGGGTGTTGACCTCAACAATGATTCCATCAAGGTCCAGAGAGCAATTGTTGTCCACAGACAGCATCACAGATGTGTCAGAGATCTAGGACTGCAGTTTATGAATCTCCTCTTCATACAGTTGCTTGTAGAAGTTGATCTCATCAGGCAGGGTCGGCCCATCCATGCAGGATTCCAGCTCTACCTTGTTCATGTAAGCTTCATCCATGTAAGCTTACCTCCTTGGTAAGGAAAAAATCATTCTCTATCTCTGTGTGCTTGTTGATCTCATCCTCATACTTATTCCTCCAGTTCTCCACCAGTCCCTGCATGTTGCCAAACTCTTCCTCCCGAACCAGCTGCTGCTGAAGGTTGTTGATGTAGCTCTCAAAAACAATGTCCATGTGAGTTGTATACCGTTGCTGAAGAAGGTTCCATTTGGTCTCCAGAATCTTACTCTACTGCTCCAGGCTTCAAGCAAACTTGTTGAGGATGTTGATCTGCTCCTCTGGTTGCACACGGCTTAGATATTAGGGTCCACCTCCAGCTTCAGAGGAGTCAGCAGGCTCTGGTTCACTTAGACAACTATGATGCTCCCCATACTCTCAGCCCCGTCATAACCCCAGGCAACCCCGGCAGCTGCTGCCCACCCAGGAAAACGCCAAGGAAATGATGTGGGTGGCAGGCCCACGGGAGTATGAGCAGCTGCTAAAGACCCTGGAGCCAGAGCCAGACACCATATAGGTCTTCTGGATCACCCTGTGGACATGGCGGAGACTGCAGTAGAGGCGAGGAGGCTGAACCAGACAGATTCGAGAAGCAGCCAAAAAGCTGCTTGATGTTTTTCCATTCTAACAAAATAGGTTAGTGTTAATAAAATTTTGCACTACCTTAATTTAATAATAGATACTTTACTTTGTTATCTATATAATTACAATCCTGCATTTAAATTTTTAAAATTGATTTTAGAGATAGAGGAGAAAAAAGAGAGGGAGAGAGAAACATTGATTTGTTGTTCCACTTATTTAAGATTTCATTTGTTAATTCTCATATGTATTCTGACCTGGAATGGAACCCGCAACTTTGGCATATCAGGATGATGCTTTATCCAACTAAGCTACCGGACCAGGCTATCCCTGCCTTTTTTTTTTTTTTTAAGGTTGTTTTATTAGTACTTTGCCTTCAAATCATAAACTTAATTTTTCATGCCAGAAATTCAATTATGTAAGAGCACTCTACTTCTTCACTATTTATCTACCACATTCAGATCTTTTTCTTAGACTAAAGACATTTAGCTTAGATTTTCTTACATGCAGGAGACAATACAGAGATAATTAACAGCTCCTGAAGTACATATTCAAAGAACCATAATGATCCCACAAAATAGCTGGTTTATACACTGTCAGTGATGCAGAAATTAATGACCACTTGCAGGCAGACAGAATGACAGGATAAAACAGCATCTTCCAACAATTACATCATTAATCTATTCTTAACAGTGCTCTAAACAAACATTTGTATCAAAATTATGATTTATAAGGGGTCAAGTCTAATAATAAACCACTGTTCTTTATAAATTCAAAATCATGCTGAAACCGGTTTGGCTCAGTGGATAGAGTGTCAGCCTGTGGACTGAAGGGTCCCAGGTTCGATTCCGGTCAAGGGCATGTACATTGGTTGCAGGCACATCCCTGGTAGGGGTTGTTCAGGAGGCAGCTGCTCGATGTTTCTCTCTCATTGATGTTTCTAGCTCTCATCCCTTTCCCTTCCTCTCTGTAAAAAATCAATAAAATACTTTAAAAAACAACAACAAAAATCATAAACTTATCATACCAAATTTTAAAAAATGCTTCACATTAATATTAAAATCCATAAGATACTAAAGAATAAAATCTTAAAGTTCCAATTTTCCTTAATGCCTACATTACAAAGGTGGTAACACTGGACACACACATTTAAGTGGAGGTGTAAGGAAGGAAAATGAGACTGTAAGTTCAATTAATATTAAATTTAGGCCACAAAACCTTTCACCATTTTATCATTAAAATCAATGACAGCCCAAGTCAAAATCTTTTTATGAGAAATTTCAAGTTTAACATAATTAATTTTTGTTTTTCAATAAATCAGATTTTTGGGGAAAAACGTTCATTTCACCCATCATATTTTATTTACCATCAGTAGAAATAATGTAAGAACCAAAGAAACTTCTAAACAGCAGATTATGGAGCAATTTCACAGCTTTACATAGGACCCTTCCCACTTCAAGTAAACAAAGAGAAACAGTATTAAGACTTTCCTTTTAATTCATAAAACTATGAAAAACTGTGTATTTGAGTACTTTAACAAGTCTGTTAAGCCATGTGATTTCTCAAGATTTTTCTGAAAGGCAATTAGAAAACCCAACAGCAAGGTAGACCTATTAATCATGATATCCTGATTATCAAAATCATGAAAGTTCTACCTATAAGAAGTTTTCTCTATAACTTCTAAGAATCATTTAAAAGAACACAAAATTTGTAGGAATTGAAAAGTGACTTTGGCATTTTGATAAGTGAATAAGTAAATGGTATACTTAAACTCAGCTTCTTTCAGTTTAAGATGTATACTATAGCAAGCCAAGAGAAAAAAAAACCACGTAAGGCTATTAGAAGTTAGTAATTCTACGAAATTTCTTATACTTGCATTTAAATAGATTATTCATTGAGTGCAATAGGATATAACAAAAGTATTATCTGTTATTATATTATAAATACTAAAACCTAATTTGAGAAAAAGGATAAAGCTGAGAATCTCTCAATTAACTTTACTCATTCTAGGCAAAATAATACCAATGCAAACAAATATACAAAGCCTAATCCTAAACTGTTAGAATTCAAAGAAACAAAAGCCAACCAGGATCTAATCTAACTACTTAATACATAGTAGTCTATCCTAACACTGCCAGCTGCTGGAAAATAGTAAGAAAATAACAGTAAGTTAACTTTATTTACTCACTATGTAACTATCACTTAAGTTTCTACCATGTCCTGACCATCACAGCAGCCACTATAAGAAGGAATTATTACCTTCCTTTTATAGATAAAGAAATTGAGAATCAGAAAGTTAATCAATGAGCTACAATTTAGTCAAAAGGGATCAAAATGCATAGTAAATAGGTATGAAGCAGAGGTATAAAATGAACGAATTCTGGCTTTGGAAAAATAAGTATTATTATGTCTGTGTATTGCTGTTATGATTAACAAAATATTTCACATATGGAGTAAAAACTTTATAAAGTTAAAAATAGATGCATACCCCAGGAAAAGTCAATAGTTCTGTTATTCATAAAATCATTTGTTGAGTCCTTCAACAATTATGGTCAAAAACTTCAGGAATTCCGAAACCGGTTTGGCTCAGCGGTAGAGCGTCGGTCTGCGGACTGAAAGGTCCCAGGTTTGATTACAGTCAAAGGCATGTACGTTGGTTGCGGGCACATCCCCAGTAGGGGGTGTGCAAGAGGCAGCTGGTGGATGTTTCTCTCTCATCGACATTTCTAACTCTCTATATCTCTCCCTTACTCTCTGTAAAAAATCAATAAAATATATTCTTAAAAAAAACAAAAACAAAACTAAACTTCAGAAATCTATAAACTTGAGAAATTAACATTCAAATGTCTAATTAGATTAAAATATGGGAATTTTAAGTCTCATGAAAGGCCATTTAAACAATGGGTTAAAGCCTATCACAGGACTGAATAGGAGATTTTTTGTTTAGTACATTTTTTACAGTTTTCTAGTCAATGGAATAACCACCTAGTTTTGAAAACATTTTGTGGTTGATTTCGGTTATAACATTTGTCAGAAGAGGCTTTAACTATATTAAAAGTCTTATAAGCCTTCAGCACATTCCAAAAGAAATGCCAGTCCATTCACCAGTTTAATCTAAACTAGAAATCCATCTGATGGAGATCTGATATGATGTATGTGCAGAATAACTATAAGGCATGAAAAAAGATTAAGAATCTTAAAAAATAATTTGTCACAAATATATAAATGATCAAATAGGTTTTAGTGTTAAATTTGATACATAATGTATATGTACATTTTATATGTAAGTTACTAAATTTAACAGCAATTTTTTTTCCTTATTTTTCAAATCAATGAGTTATTTTCATACCCAAAAAAAGCAAAAGAGGAGTAGCTTTAGAATATCTTATTAAGGTGTTGTATTTACCAGGAGTTATTGGCAATATTAAAAAATGTAGATATGAATTCTATTCCAAATTTTGATATCCTGAAATGACATAATATAACAACACAATTCCACACATTACAAATTCCTTATCTTTAATGCGAGGAAAAGAACTGTCAAATGAATAAACTATGCTAGGTAGCACTGTTTTATGATATGAAGTATTTCCAAGGGTCAAAAAACAAAAAAATCCATAAGCTGGAGCTATTTATTGTTCACCATTAGAAGGCAAAGTAGTATTAGATTTTGAAAATTGTGTTATAGTAGATCTATAACCTCTTTCGAAATTGGTTATTAAGCTATAACAGGAAAAGTTAATATCTGTTACTATCACTGACTCATTGCTCCTGTCTGATCCAAACCAGCAGTAGGGTATCCTCCTTTATTTTGATTTTTTTGTTTTGTTTTAAGATATATTTTATTGATTTTTTACAGAAAGGGAGAGGGATAGAGAGTTAGAAACATCAATGAGAAAGAAACATCAATCAGCTGCCTCTGCACACCTCCCACTGGAGATGTGCCTGCAACCAAGGTACATGCCCTTGACTGGAATTGAACCTGGGACCTTTCAGTCCGCAGGCCGATGCTCTATCCACTGAGCCAAACCAGTTAGGCCTTGTTTCGATTTTTAATACTCTGACATAAATTCAAGACCTCATAAATAGTAATGAAGAACATTCATACTTTGTATAACTTTCTGTTTCTACCTATACAGCACTTTCCTATGAACTAGAAATCAAGTAAATTTTCAGAAAAGAGCAATTAAATAGGTTGTAGATACTTAATCAAAGAAAAATATAGAAAGGGCATGATCTGTAAGAGATCATTTCATTTTGCCTCTCTTAACTAGTTGACTACCACATGTCCAAAACGAAACCATCCCCACACGCCACATTTTGAATTTAATTTAAAAAATCAATTTGCAATGAATGTTATAAAAGTAAACATGTTACTCACAATTGGGGTTTTCTTGAATATTTTCAGCTGAAAATTCTCAGGAAAAATTATTTCAAAGTTGGTCAGGGCTGCCACATAGGGAAAACTTTTTTTTTTAAATAGACAAGCAGCGTGTGGGGAAGGTCTTTAATTGTGTTTACAGACGCTTAAGGCATACAATGGATTAAGCTCATTATATTCAAATTATCCTTTATGTATCAATAGTTTACATCCTTCAATACCTAAACATTCTTTATAGTAGAGTGCTATATTGAGTACAATTAAGTGAATAGTGCCTCTTCATGCCTTAAATATTTTAGATAATTATCTCATTTCACACATACAAAGATCTTAAATATTTTTAATTTTTCTCCTGAATAAGTCTGTTTCTCCAAGTGTGGTTTGTTTTCCTATGTACTGGCTACATTAGATTCAGCCATTATGCATATAAAAAAAACGATTCTTGGGTTGCCACCTCCTGATCTACTAAATTAGAAAGACTTGGAGTCCTTAAAGCTCAATTTTTAAACAAGCACTAAGTGATTCATATGTACACTAGTAATTGCAATACATGAATTATATGTAATTATAATTCTAAACTCTTTTGAGAACAAGAATGCTGTAATTGCCAATGGGAAAATCACTATAGAGAATGCTCAATAGCAACTAGTTTTTAGAAATGCTAAAATGCCTTTCACATAAAGGATAGAGGTTGCTATTCCCAATTGAAGGATTATTCTAGGGTCTAGAAATCAAGAATGTGAAAACCTGGAGAGTACTGCTTCTGCAAAAGTGTGAGCATTATATCAATAAAACCAAACAAGTACTATGAATGCAATACTCTTGATATTGGACACCAAATAGAATGAAGTATTAGTATTTGAACATGCATCATACAATTTACCATGATTCTGCACACATCAACTCCTATAATTTTTGTCACTGCCTTATTTAATATAGCAAAACTGTATTTACTTAATCTCTAAGAGCAAACATTAGCTTAGTTTTTAAACCTCTAACATCTACCAATAGCCACAACCAAGCTTCCTAAAAATACGTAGTTCAGAATAAGAAACCACTGTGAACCAATACCAACTTCTAGGAAATCCAAGAATAAAAATGGTAGGAAAGAGCAGTATAGTACCAGTCAGGTTCAGTAAATTGCTACTAGTACTAATAGAAGCCACAAGGGTAGGAGAGGGGACAAGAAGTACAACTGTTAACCAAAGCATGTTCTTCACAGCTTTGAACAACTTGCAGATAAATATTTTTACCCGAAGCAACTAATTAAATCTAAGGGCTATTTCTCTTCTACAAGGAAACCACATCACTGTCATTATACTATTTGTACCAAGACTTAACATAAAAAAACAATGACATAGATGTTCATGTAAAACCAAGGAAGTTATCCACATGACTGTACAGTTTGGAAGTACTGAGAGAAAATTTAGGAATTTTAATTACTGACATTCTCATCAACATAATGACAGCAACTATCTAAGCACTACATTTAGGTTTTAATTTACTTGTATTATGACACTTGCTATTCACTAAAATTTTTAAAACCAGTATAAGGTTATGTATGGAATGCTAAAGTGCATTCATATTACTAATAACATATCTTTTTCTTCGTTTTTTGCGTGTCATCCTTGCACAGTGGCCATGCTAATCTTCTCTGTATCATTCCAATTTTAGTATATGTGCTGCCAAAGCTAGCACACATATATCTTCCTTACCCTCACTGTATCATATTTTAAAAATTAAACTATGATTACCTAGGCTTGAATCTACTCTCCCATGATTAACATCTATACTACTCTTATACAAAACAGGTAGCAACACACACACACACACAAAAAAAAGATTGCAATTATGCAATCCTAATTGTGATTACAGAAAGTTAAAAAGTCTGATTATTTATAATTCTCAGTTGTATTGACTTTTCTTATGGAACAAAATATGGAACATATAATCTTGGGTGAAATAGCTATAAAAGCCAAGTTACTGTAAGAGATAAATGACAAGAAAGAATATTTATTTCTCTGCCACATAATGATTCAGTGTATTTACAAAATAGAGGTATATGCAACCTACAAATCCAATCCTATGGATTAAATTATTACTTAACTACTTACCTACAGTATACCAACTAGCATCTGTCAACTTGCTGATACTAGCTTCCTGAAAGGATCCATCGGATGTCCTTATTTCAACAATAGCTCCAACCTAAAACACAAAATGAAAAATTCATTTCCAAATGTAAACAAACCAAATCACTACCACCTGGGTAAAAAAATACTTCTTAGAATAATTCTACCTTATATTGGCTTAGATCTTTATCATTAATAGTGCTCATACATTTTCCATGCAATTGGAGCTCCCTTTTGTCATATGTAAGAAAGTTATTATTGCCCCTATTTTACACATTGAGAATTGTGGCTCAGAAAGAGAAAATAATTTGCAGGATACAGGAAGAGAACCAGAACTTTTTTACTATAACACGTCTTTAAGAAAACTGTGGAGTGTAAGAACCGAAAAACCATACAACACAGCAAAAATAGCTTCAATTTCTTTCATAGAAATACTGGATTCAGCATTTGTATTTAAGGACCTTTTAGATAAAAATTTCACTTAAAGAGAGAGAGAGAGATGGACCAGTTGACCTTTCAGCTTCCAAGCCTTTGCATATCAGATATTAACTAAAATATTATTCTGACAGAACAAAGATTATACAAACAAATGGCCAGAAATGAATGAAAAACTTAATATAGGTAGTTATTAAATTCAATTATGAAGTCAATAGTTTACTTGGTATGTTAGAAAGAATAACAGAAGATTGAGAGTTATATTAGTATATTACTTAGCAAGCTAAATACATATATCCACCTAAAAAACAAAATGAAGCATTAAATACAAGAATTAAAAGGGGGGGGGGGCTGAAAACTCATGTTTATATATGTTAAAAGTTACGCTCCCATAAGATGTTTAACATTCTTAAATTAAGGACATAGCCACTGAATTATCATAATTTATACTAACTATATAGCATCACATTTGTATTTTGTTCTCTAACATTCTAAAAATTTTAAATTATATCTACAAATGTAAAATTCAATAAGTTAGTGTGAATTAATTAGTCATCATTTCATATTTTAAAATGTAGAACATACATACTCTTAAAGGACCTTTTATTTGGTCATCTTGCACCAACTGTGTAGTATTGTCCTGTTTCAGGAGTACCTGAAAAATATTTTTGCCCAGTAATTCATACGTTAGTTTCAAAACGATACATTTATGGTGATACTCTAACAACAATGTCTTTAGTCTATGCTCTCTTAGCATCCTGTGGTTACTTCTGTTATAATACTTATTACATTGTCTTGTATTTATGTTTATTGTCTCTCTCATTAACTGTGAGCTCCTTGAAGGCTCTAGTCCTCCATCATCACTATAGGCCCAGCAGTTAGCAAATGTCAATGCATATTATAGGCACTTAATAAATGTTTACTGAATTAATGAACTATAACTAAGATTATTAAAAACATTTATATAGGAAAATTACATAAGGAAACAAAAAAATGTTAATAGTAGGATTTCTAAGAGGTAAACTATAGGTATTAATCCTTAGGTACATTCTATATTTCCAAATATTGTACACAAATAATATGTTGTTTTTTTATGGTCATAAAAGCATCTTAAAAATAAATTTCCTAGATCATTTTTATGCTATCTTGAAAACACAATTCCCACTGTATTATTACTCATAATCACTTGAAATTGCCTCAATGTGAACATCATGAAAAAAAAAATTACAGCCTAAGTAAACATGATGCCACAAACAGGAAACATCCAAATGATAGAAAGTATCATGAACATGGTATTTTCATAGAAGCTCTTTGAAATAACTTCTCATTTTGAGTTATTGCTCAAACCTTAATGTGCTTATAGTTTTACGTATAACAGTGTTTGTACAAAGTAATGATTCAATAAATGAAATGTTGATTTGAAGTATGCCCTTCCTCCCCAACCATTTTCAATCTAGAGTTAGTAATGCTGTTACATAAAAAGGAAAAAAAAATTACCTTAACTTTCACCAGTCTTTTCACGGTCTTAATTTTTGCCTCACAGAAGGCACCTCGGTACTTGGCACTGACATCAGTTCCCACTGTCAGGTAGGCAGGCTCATCAGCCGCCTGATGGAAGGAACATAAAATGTGAATTTCACTACTGTTTCCCCTACTCGAATCTCAAGTCTCACTAAAAGGTTCTGTGTTTAAAGTAATAAAAACAGTAACACTATTTATTAGCACAGTGATAACTGAAAAATACCCCAAAGCAAACACTTTATTAACAGTCTTTTATTTTATAAACTATATCCTGATAACATAAAACATTTAAATTTAAACAGGGAAGTATCAGTTAGAATATACCATTTTTTCCTCCAGATACAAAATGTTTCAACAATTCTGAAATTTATTTAAGAAATTAAAAATAAGAAAAAAATATATATGCATATTAAGTCTCATAATACTTTGTTACTAAATTATGGTCTCGGGAAAATTTTGTTTTCAAATGAAAAGATAATGCTATTAAAATCAATACCAACAATACATAATTATATGCTTATTAATATAGCTAAATAAAGGCAACATCTTTTCAAGTTCAGTATAATTGTGCAGATAAGAAATGAAGCCAATCCTTTTGATAAGGAAAGCATTATTTGAAAAAAATCATTGGCTAAAAGCTGTATTTTAGAGGTTTAAGTCTGATGAATGCAGAGATATAAACCGATGGCATACCAGTTTATCACAGTAGTCTTTTGGGTACACGCATATAAAAAAGCTTTACTTAGAAATATCTACTTTTAGCCAATGGCCTAAGATAGGTAGTCATTAAATTCAATTATGAAGTCAATAGTTTACTTGGTATGTTAGAAAGAATAACAGAAGATTGAGAGTTATATTAGTATAATATAGGTGAGAAATGTAATTTTATAATTCATTTTAATCTTGACAATAACAGTGATTGCTACTTCAATCTATCATTTTTCCTATTTTTTTTCCAAAAGGTAAGCATACAAGTTTGATTCAACATTGCCAAGAGCAAAAGTTACAGTGTACACACACTTAAGAGACACACTTGTAAGTAGGAAATGATTTTAATTTTCCAGTAAGCTTTCCCAAGTAATATTAAGTTATATGTAACCTTAAAAAAAAAAAAAGTAACATTAAACGTCATTTTAAGAAGATATGGTAAGAGAAACTGTAGGAAAATGCTGTATTTCAGGGCTTAATACACTGAAATAGTAAATGACTAAGAAATCAAGAACCTCTTAAAGTTAGTGTATTTTCAAGTAATGCAAACTGAAAAAGAATACTTTTAGCAAGTACCTAAGTGTCTGACCTGAAACATCCAATGCTACAGCACCAGACTGCTATCCCCTTCTTCTCCTTTAAACATCACATATGATGTTTGCAATATCAGTCGTCTTCAGAAGAATATATACGTCTTTTTTTTTTGTTAGCTACATGCTTAAAATTACTTATTATAACGACTGAACGAAAACTATTAGCTTTGGTTCAACTTCAAGTATTTTAGCCACAAAATTTCACTCCACCTCCAACAAAAATGATACCTCCCTTCCACAATCCACCTATTTTTTTTTTTTCCTTAGAAAAATCCACACTGGCACTGAGGAAGAATAAAAACTTCCCCCAAAAATCCCCAAAGAACCAAAGCAGGACAAAAAAAGCTTTACTTCTGCAAAGGTCGCTGCCAACACAGGAAATGTTTAAAAATACTAGCCCCATGGACAACAATGGAAAAGGCTGCAGCAGCCTTTCGCAAGTGCTGCTGCTGCTGCTTCAGAGATGGGCCGAGCGGACTGCGTTGAGACCACAAATGATCATTTCTCACCCATTCAACACGTCCTCCTTTTTCAGAAAGTGCTGCCCTGGTTGAGAAATCAATTCTTGAGTGGCCAATAGGTAAAAAATAATAATAATAATGACATTCCACAGCACTGGCCTCCGGACAGGCAGCGTGTCCTGGGCACGAGGTTCAGAGCTGGTGCTGACTCCACTTACCTTCATTTTCACTGGTGACCTATGGGGTTCCAGCTCCACCAGCTCCGTCCTCCCGTCGCTAGAGCCGCGCGGGGAGGAGAGAAAGACAAGCCAGAAATCAGTCTACACACACACACACACACACACACACACACACACACGGAGGGGGAACGACCCAGGGAAAGAAAGTAAACAAACGCCAGCGGGGAGGGGCAGGAGCCTCCACCGACCGCGGGATGGGAAGGTCCCCCGGAGGGTCACTGGGACGCCGGAGCGCAGCGGGGCAGCGAGAGCCCCGCCGGCCGGCGCCCGCTCCGCCCGGGACTTCGCCAGCGGCCCTCCGCGCCACCCCCGCCTCGATCGCTACTTTGACCCGAAAAAAGCTCAACTCGATCCCGAGCACCGATCGCTCGGGAAGAGGACGGCGGGGCGCCGTGCGGGGCTGACCGGAGTCCCCGATAGGCGCGGCCGCCCGCCGGATACCCGACTTCGGCCCGCGCCCCGCCCCCGCCGCTCGGCCCCCCTCGGCCCGCCCCGGCCCGCGGTGGCGGCAGCGGAGTGTCACGGCGCCATTGCTCTCCTTCCTCCGCTCTGCACCATGTCAGTAAGGGGGAAAAAAAAAAAGAAGCGCTTCTTCACCGAAACGGGGCAAGGAGCCGAGGCCTTCCTTCAGCGGGAGGCGCGAGGGTGCGGGGATCCCCGCGGAGGAGGACGAGGAGGAGGGGGCCGAGGGGGCGGAGAGGAGGAGGGAGGCGGCCCGGACAGTGTGGGAGGGGAGGGGAGCTCCTCCCCGCGCCCGCCTTAACTTTTTGTACCGCCCGGCCGGAGGGGTACCTGCCCCCGGCCCCCCCGGGTCCCCGGGTCCGGCCGCCGACTCCATGGGGAAGGACGCGCCGCGGAGTTGGGTGGGGGCCGGCTTCCCGAAAGCAGTCCGCTCTGGACGGCGCTTGGAGCAAACTTAGCGGCGCGGCCAGCCCCACAGCCATTTTCCCGGGGCAGCGGCCGAGGCGGCGGCGGTTCCCGCACTTGCTGTCGCTGCTCCGCGACGCGCCCCTTCCCCAAGCGCCCGCCGCACCGCTAGCCCGCACCCCGCTCGCCACCTCCAAAGCTCCTAACTGCACCGGGACCCCGGGCGGCGGCGGCGGCGGCGGCGGCAGCTGCTATGCTGCTGGGTACCCCCCACGTCCCTCCTCCCCACCTACCAACTGCGGGTCAAGTGCGCGCTGTCAGTGCCAGAGTCCTCCGCCCCTCGGGCCGCCGGGGCCCCCGGCTGGGCAGCACCACTCCCGGCCGCGGCGGCGGCGGCAGTTCCGCGCCCGGTTCCCCACTCTCCCAATTTACTGCCACAAGCCACCAAATAACAAGCTGTTGAGCAGACTCGCTCCTACACGGACTCTCATTGGCTGCTCATGACGCCCAAGAGCTTCCGATTGGCGCTCCCCCCCTTGCCGTCCTCATTGGATGGAGCTCTGAAACTTCACGGATTGGTGCGAAAAACAGCAGGTAGGACATCTGCCACTTCTGATTGGCCGTCCCCGAGGTCTAACGTTACTGGAGCACCAGGGATTGAGTAAGCCAGGGCCGCCACCGGATTGGCTGAAAGGACTCCGGATGTGCCTGACTGAGCACCGATTGGTACATGGAGGGGGTCAGGAAGAGCGGTTCCGCGCGAGGATTGGCAGCAGAGTGTCCCATGGAAACCGAAACCCGAGCTGCGGCCGAGACTTGCGGGGGGGGGGGGGGGGGGGGGGCGGGGCAGGGCCTGCCCAAAGGCGCATGCGCGAAACCGACTTCTCGGCGCCATTTTGTCTGGGCAGCGGTGGCCGCGGGTCTATCGCATTTCATGTTTCTGGCGAGAGGACAGCGAAGTCTTTCTGCCGTAGATTCTTTTCGGTGCGGTACCCCGTCCGCGGTTCTCCCCAGAGACAACACCTGGTGAAGGTCGGAGGAGTCGCAAGTCTGTTTAAAAAGGTCAGTTGGAAGCCGCGGTGGTCCGATCGCCTGGGGGATGGCGCGGCTCTAGCGGCGCCGGCACCGGAAGTGGAGGGGCCAGGGCAGCCATGGCTAAGTGCTCCCCGCCGCCGCCGCGGAGTGGGAAGTAGAAGGCGGGAGGAAAGGGGGCGAGGCTTCCTCTCCCGCCGCCAGGAGGCGGAGGGGGAAGTCTTTCTCTGGGCTGGTCCTTGGACTCCTCCGGAGAGCTGGATGGGCTTTCTGGGCTCTGCTGCTCCCCGAACCGCTCCTCCCTTGGGGACGCGTGTTTCGGGGAGCTGTCATACTCTCGGCCAAGTGCTCCTGGCTCTGGGCGCCTCCCTAGTGAGGACGGGGGAAGGTCAGGTTCTTAGACACACAAGACAGGGTGCACGGGGACAGGTGTTTCCGCGTGCCCGGCGCGCGAGGAGGCACTCGGGTCGGAATGCGGGGAATTCACGTGCTCGATCTGCCCCGGCGCCGGCAGCTGCTGCACGAGGCTCAGGCTGCTCTTCGGAAGGAAACGGCAGCGGCGGTTTTTTGCAGGATCAGAAAACACCTCGGATCAAAGGGCCTGCGGAGGGGGCCTTGTGCAGGGCAGCCATTGGTCTTGGTCGCTTAGCAAAATCTCCGTTTCGGAGATTAATGTCTGTAAAAATGGGAGTCTTAATGTCTGTAAAAATGTTTAAAATTGGGGGGGGGAGGCTGCCTGGAAAATTTTAAATGAAGCAAGAACACATTTGAAAGTGGTGGACTATTCAATGGCGAGCTGTCATGAGGAATGGCATCATTAGGGAAGTGGGAAATATCGTCCTTAATCCACGTTGACTAAATTTACTCCAGAGAGCAGTTCGAAGAAAGCCGACTCAGGGTTTCACCCAGCACAGTGGTTTCGCTCGAAATTGCTAAGAAAGTGAAATAGATGTTGGTGTTTCTGTTGAGTGCCCCAGTGGCACCGATCTGGATAGCTTCTTATATGATCGTGATGATACCGCCCCTGTTTTGAATACCATAGTTCAGTTTTAATAATTTATTGGGTATTGTTGGCAGTTGGTCTGAAGATATAGCAGGACCTCTCCGTGACAGATATCCTGAAATGTTACTGAGGGGAGTCTTAATGTCTGAAAAAATGTTTAAAATTGGGGGGGCTGCCTGGAAAATTTTTCTATGGACCAAAACCTCCCCACAAACCATAAATAGCAAAATGTAAGAATGGTAGTTGAAAACTGTTTTGTTTGGTCAACGGTTCAAATGAGTCTGTACAATTAGCTATTAGGTGTGATATTTTTTTATTTATTTTTAAAATATATTTTATTGATTTTTCACAGAGAGGAAAGGTGAGAGATAGAGCGTTAGAAACATCGATGAGAGAGAAACATCGATCAGCTGCCTCCTGCACACCTCCTACTGGGGATGTGCCCGCAACCAATGTATTATACATGCCTTGACCGGAATCGAACCCGGGACCTCTCAGTTCACAGGCTGATGCTCTATCCACTGAGCCAAACCGGTTTCGGCAGGTGTGATATTTTATTTTTAATTTTTTCTGGTGTGGTATTTTAGAATGAAACATCAAAGTTAGGACATACTTATGAATTTGTCTATCCGTCATGTGATTCTCATTTCCGGATTTTTAAGTACTTAATATTTTTATCATGGACTAATATGAATTGTTTTATGATTTACAAGTGATTTTCTTTCTTCCTTAAGGAAATTATAACACTATGCTGTAATCACCTCAAATTTCACTACACAACTTTCAGCTGTTACTCTCCACATCTTAACACATAGTGGGCATTTGGAAATTACTGAAAAGCCAAAGGAAGAGCACCACGATCTTTGTATTCCCTCCACCAAAAGGTAATTACAGTTTATACTATACAAGGAACTTCACTTTTTCATTGGTTTTGTTTTACAAAATAAGAATCATTTCAGCCGAAACCGGTTTGGCTCAATGGATAGAGAGTCGGCCTGCAGACCGAAAGGTCCCAGGTTCGATTCCGGTCAAGGGCATGTACCTTGGTTGCGGGCACATCCCCAGTGGGAGGTGTGCAAGAGGCAGCTGGTCGATGATTCTCTCTCATCGATGTTTCTAGCTCTCTATCCCTCTCTCTTCCTCTCTGTAAAAAATCGATAAAATATATTTATAAAAAAAAAAAAAGAATCGTTTCAGTCATACTCATTTTGTCACCCATATTCTTTTCTTTATAGAAAGCATTGGGAACAGAAAATATGATGACCTTAAAGCATTTTTAAGGCTGCATAGTGTTCTGCAAGGTAGGTGCACAATAATTCATGTAACCTGATCTCTTGTTTCCTATTTCAGCAATGTGTCTGAATAGCCAGGGGTGTGTGTGTGTGTGTGTGTGTGTGTAACAAGATTTTGGCTAAGAACTAACATCTGGGACTAAAATTTCTAGGCATCAAGATTTCCCTTCATATCCCTGATTATTTCTTTAGAATAAATTCCCGGAAGTGGAAATACAAGACCAAAGGGATTGTGTATTTAATGCCTTTAATCCTTGAACAGCTGTCCATCAAAAAGCATTTGCTCTTCCTGCACTTAGATTATTTTTTGGTCGTCCTTTTGCTTTTTATTACATTTTGTTTTTTTCTTTAGCTTTATTTTTTTTTTTTAATTTTCTCTCCTGGGTTTCTGTTTATTCAAGTATAATTATTACAGTCTTAAGTCACATATGTAGTAAAATTGAGAATTTTTGCTGGACCTTAGGAATAATTTCTTAAAGCTAATTTATTTTTTACTCTAAAAATTAAGTGTGCAGTGAAACATTTTGCTACACAGAAGTGACATTTAGAGGTTGCTAAAACAAACAAGTTGTTTTGGTATATTTAGTTGAGTTTAACTAATTATTTTTATGTTATAGTTAGTTGAGTTGAACTATTTTAGAGTTTCCTGTAACTTTTCCCTTTGTGAAAGCAGAATACTATATTTTCTAAAGTTATCCATCCTTATGCTATGCTCTTGGTGATTTTGTACCCTTACAAGGAAGGACCCTTTGCATGCCTCTCATAACATTTACAATACTTAGCAGTTGTTTGGCTCTTCTGGGTTTGAGACAGTATTTCCACAGGGAAGCAACAGAGGTTTTAATCACTCTTGTGTTTGCCTATCAGAAACATGATAGATGCTCTGTTATTATTTCTTATGAATCTCTATGCACTTTTGTATACAAAATATGTAAAATAAGCTAATTTAGGTTTTCTTTAACAGTAATTCTTTCATGATGTTCTTCTGACGCTATCTTAACCTTCAAAAAAATTTTGATGCTCCAAATTTTTTATTTAATACTGAATTTATTTGTAATTGCTAATATGTGGATTTAGAGAACTCTTAAGAACAGTTATTCAGGATTTTGTTTTCTCCATTTAAAAAAAAGATTTTATGATCTCTTAATGGAAGGCAACTAACTAAATAGTCACTAGACTATCTCTTAGGTATGAATGAAAGAAAATTGTAATGGAATTGTGTGTGTTTTTAACCTATTTCAACAGGCCCCAATTAATAAAATAATGTTTTCTATAAAATCACAATTGTCAACTTTTTAATTATGTTTCTATTGATGAAAAGCTTTTGTGAAAGCAAAATGTTATATTTTTTTGGCCAGGGGTTTCAATGAGGCTATATAATTATCTTCCCACTGTATTTAAGACTGAAATCACAAATTTAGAACATCCAATGGATTTGTTTACCCATTCACATAGATTTCATTTCTGGATTCTTAATCACAGAATACTGAATATTTTCATGATTTTTTTTTAAGTGGTAAAGTAAATGAGATCTTGTCCTTAAAAATGTTTAGAAGTTAAGAAATATTTTGTGGGTGTGTTTAATGGAAATTTTAAAACTTTCTGTGTTCTGAGTATGTGGGCTTTGTCTTCTAGCTTCATTTTGTGGAAAAATGAAGGAAGGCATTCCAGTTTTTAAATACCTAGATTTGCTACCTGTTGAAAATTATGTTTCTGGTAAGCAATTTCACTTAACTATTCTTTAGTAATCAAGATCAGTCATGTTACTGTTACAGATTTTCGTTTGAAAAGTGTCGGATTTGTTTCACTGTACAGTTGTTTCTGTAAATGTCTTATCTAGAGAAGTAGAACATTACTGTGTTGAATGAATCTGCTTGATGATTCCTAATGAGTGTGGTGTTTTACAAAATTTGCTTATTTGTTACCAAAGTAACCTTTTCAATTTCTATCTGATCTTTTGCCCTATTAGATGTTACTGGTGATTTTATGGACACATGGAATCATTGATACTAGTTTTCTTTCATTTATAATTCAAACTAGAATGACAGCATATTTTAGGATTTGGATTCAAGCTGATGTAGGTTACCTAGTGGCATTTC